GAGAGAGATCTTCTAGCTGCTAGTTCACTCCTCAAATGCCCACAATAGGTAGGGCTAGGCCAGGCCAAAGTCAGGAGTCAGGAGCTTCATCTGGGTTTCCCATGTGGGTAGCAAGGGCCCCTCCACTGCTTTCCCAGGAGTATTCGCTGGATCAGAAGTGGAACAGGCGGGATTCAAACTGGCACCCATAGGAGATACCAGCACTGCAGGCAGTAACTTTATCCACTATGCCACCATGCTGGCCTCAAGTAATTGTTTCCTAAAGGTTAGTTCAAATGTGGAATCTGCAACAGCACCAGTGATCTTTTTGTTCATTGGTCTAGCTTGCACTTGGATTGGATCTTATACATGAAGCATCATCATGCACTGGCCATTTAAAAATATACTGGCTTATTGAGCTAGGTAAATTTCCCAGTGTTAACATATTTCAAAATAAAATATCAAAAGTCACTAATTCACTGGAGAAACAAAACAATTACCAACAAAATGTATGAGAGAGCTGTCAAATTCACGGTCATCTTCAACTCAGATCCCTCCATGAGTCCCAGACTTATTGATCCAACTGCCTCCCTGGCATCTGTCCACTAGGAAGACCCTTTGAACATTGCTTAAAGAAAACATCACCAGGGCTGGCACTGTGGGGTAGGGGGTAAAGGCACTTCCTGCAGTGCTGGCATCCCATATGGGCACTGGTATGGGTCCCAGCTGCTCCACTTCCAATATAGCCCTCTGCTGTGGCCTGGGAAAGCAGTAGAAGATGACCCAAGTGTTTGGACCACTGCCCCCACATGGGAGACCTGGAAGAAGGTCCTGGCTCCTGGCTTCAGATTGGCTGCAGCTCCAGCTGTTGTGGCCAACTGGGGAATGAACCAGCAGATAGAAGACCTCTCTTTCTGCCTCTCCTCTCTCTGAGTAATCTTTAAAAAAGAAAACATCACCAGGCTTTCCACTCCTTTCTGGTCCTCCACCTTGTCCCTAGCCAGGAATGACAGCAATAATCTGAGCCAGAAACTTTTGTCATAGTCGTCTTCCTCACCTACTACCTCTGCTCCCTCAAGTCCCTATCTAAATCCTGTCAACTTGACTGGCTGGGGTCATGTCTGTCCACAGAAATCCCCCTAGTGGACAATGATGGAAACTCTCAGATCTTACATCAAGGCTTATGTATGGGGAGGTTGCCCTGTTGTTGGCTCCGCAAGAAGTTCAGGGGTGAGCACTCAGACATCAGCCTGGGTGACATTCCTTACTGAGCCATCAAATCGCTTCCTTTTATGGGAGTATAGGATGCCTCTTTCATTTGGGTCCAGATGTGGGGCTGACTGGGGAAAACAGGTCAGGTGCTATGAAAAACCCAGGGAGGGGCCGTCAAGTTCCCATCCCAATACCTAGCACAGATGATAGAAGAAAACGTGGGTTTCTCTGAGAACAGAAACTCTTCCCCTTGCCCATCACAGAACAGATCTAGGGGAGGTTTTCTGACTCTTGCGTGCATCGCCTTAGAATGTGGAATGCGAGGATGTTCAGAAGAGTGAAAGAAGCGCTGAAACCCCTCCGTTCCCACAGTGAAACTCCGAAGGCTTCTCAGTTGCCGCATCCAGGCACTGCTCTGTACACACCCTGTGGCCGCTTCTTTCCACGGCCAACAGCAGCCAAAGTGGCAAACCCAGGGCTTCTGAAATTAAATGAAAGGCACCCAAGAGCACAACCTCTCACAACCTGTTCAGATCACCTAATAAACCAGGATTCTGATTACCTCTGAAGGTAACTGAACCAACTGGGCATGGAGTGAGGGCAAAGAAGCTATACTGAAGTGGGGAAAGCAACAACAGCAAGCAGGCATTCCTAAGTAAGAAATTTATTTCTTCAAATGGCAATATATATTTTAAACTAAAAGGCTCTAGTCAGACATAATGTATCTTTATTCTAGAGGAAATGGTATCAATGTAAATGGCACCTGAAAACAGAATGAGTTTCCTATAACTCATGTGTCATATAAATCCTTATAGACCTTAAAACTAGGTTACAAGTGCAACATAAAAACCTAATTTGTCCTTAAAAGTGAGTTTCTTAGATTTATGACATCTACATTATGCTATTATGCACAGGTATTTGGGGGATTCTGTGACAATCAAAAAGGGCTACTATCCGTGAGAAAATGTTGCTCCATGATGGGCAGAATCAAAAGCAGTGATGGTGCCTCAACCTCAGGTTCCATGTATGGCATCCCACATTCCAAATCCTTGGAATTCTGAGTTGAATAGGTGGGGATTCCCAATCACTCCAGTTGGAAATATTGAAAAAGGAAGTTGGGAAGCCAGGGTTCAAGAGGAAAGGGAAAGGAAACAAAGGCATGGCAGGATCCAACCAGCCACAGCACAGCTTTAGAAATGACCAAGAAAATATATTAAAAAAAAAAAAAAGGTAGATTCATGGAACTATACCCCAGGGAGGGGGCAGCCGGGAGGAGAGCACTGACCCCCACAGGTAGGGACTGACCAGCAAGACGCGGGCTCGGCTGGGAGCCACCACACGTTAGCATGACATTTGCTGGACGGACAAGTTACTACATGGTGCGCTGGGGAAAGGGCAGTGTGTAGGTGACATCAGGTTTCGTGGCATCCAAGTGATTCAGCTGTTGGGGCCACGAGGGGAGCTGGGAGGCAGGAACTGGCAGCTCCAAGTCATAAAACCAGAAAAGCTTCACATATGCAGGAGGAGGACCCGATACAAAGAAGACGATGTCCCCTGGTGCACATGGTTCGCAGCAAAGCACAAAGGTGTCCAATGATTAAAGTGCAATTGAGTTGACAAGGAGGAATGGAAGATTCCAGAAAGTTAAGGATGAGAACTGAAAATTATATAGCACCCATTCTTACTAATTTAAGATACATAAGTACCATTGAGGATTTATGCCGTATCTGTACTATTATTTTTATAAATATAAATATTTTAAAGGACACATACATTCTAGTATGAACATTACAATTGGATTCATACAACTGAGTAGGTGCTAAGCCCAGTTCACTTGGGGTCCCGTCTAGAACAATGTTTGCAGAACACTTTCTGAACCTTAGTCACACAGCTAAGTGAACGCCCAAGGACCTAAGAGACATCTTCTTGGGGGCTTGGCAGCAAATGTGTTTTATCTATGGGCGAATGCATTACACACAGACAAACTTGTCCAATTGTATAAATGGAGTTAAAGACATCCGATGGCGCTCTCACACTTATAACCTGTCTGCTTTCTTCTCTGCTTCTTTGTGATCCAGTCTACGTGGGAGGGCTGCTCGATGGCTTTCAGCTCCTTTCCTGAGTCTCACTGTCTTTCTTGGAGGTGTGTATTTAAAAACAGTTTCAAGTTTCTCATTCAGGTTGAGTGCCTCTTTTAAGACTCCTAACGTTGAGATTAGAATCTTCAAAAGCATTGACAGATACACACAAACTCTCCTAAAAACAGTAAATGCTTTTCTATCGCCTGCATTTAGCAGTGTGCTTTTCAAACAGGTTTGTTCCCAGGGCTACAGAAATAACCTCCAAACACAATCAGGCTTATCACTGCACACGACCTCCTACAGGGAAAAAGTGAAATGACCCTAAAGATGGGATGGTATAAGAATTCCATTCTTCTCTGGCTCCACAGAACCTGAGAAACATCAGAGACGTAGCCATCGCAGCAGCCAAAGTGCCTTTCTACTCAGGGAAGGTCGTCTTGACTGCTCTACGGAGTGACTCTGGAAATTGGTCTTCTGTGGGCTGCCTGGCCGCACCTGATGGCTGAGAGGAGACAAGGCTGGCGCTCCCCGATCAGCGATGCAGGGGCTGTCCAGCACAGAGAGTGGGCTCGGCCTGATGCAGCCTTACGGTCATTCCTAACCCTGGGACTAAGTCATTCCCATTTGCTTCATTTCTCCTCAATAAGTTCCTAACTTAGCACACTGAAGAGTGTTAAGGAGTAAAGTGAAGCTGGCCTTCTTTCGGGGGATGTTAGGGAGCCAAGCTTTGAGACTGACAGCAGAGCCACAGGCCCAGTCTGTGTACATTTTCCCAGAGAAGTCCGACTTAGAAAGTCTGACTCAGGTGAAATTCCTAAAATAACTGTCTTCAAGAAATGGATCTGGGAAAATGAGGTGACCCTAGCTTAGGATGTTTCCATACTTCAACAGAAATGGTCTCATAGCAAGAGAAAGCTTCTCTGGGCTCAGTCTACCTGGACATCATTTCATCTGGAACTTTTCTTGGAGTACCAGGGACTCACTCAAAGTTGGTTCTAGCAATTAAATAAAATCAACAACAAGGCACAAGAAGCACAGCCAACCAAAGGGCTCTACTCACATGTGTGGCTGCCCAAGTGCCAGGCAGCCGCCCTGCCCAGAGCTGGACAATTTCCTACCAAATACTGCTGTCTCTGAGAACGGGATTCTAGCGGGGCAGACAGACAAGGCCAGGCCCTCAGAGTGACACTGGGTTGGGTGTTCACAGCACTGCCCGAGCCGACCTGTGTGGCCCACCGCTGGGCTTGTGCCTTCCGCTCTGGCACTGTGATATCTGGCACATCCTTTGAAGACACACCTTTGCCCCTGGGGGAGCAGTCTGGAACTTCAAAACACAGCCCCGGGAATGCAGCTGACCTCTCGGCCATTTGACTTCCTGACCTTCCAAACCCTAAGTAAAGTGTTTCCCACACCAGGGGAATGGGACAAGATGGCACCAACCCACGGGCCCCTTACAGTTCGCTGAAGGCTGACACCGAGCTCAGAGATGCTTCCGTTCCTTATCTTTCTAGCGTCAGGTTGCAGACCAGTTTACAACCGGCATAATGTGAGGGTAACATGAGTCAAGTCTGTTGAGCCCGGCTCATTATCAAACCATCTACCCAAAGCCCAGAGAAGTAAGGTGAGCTAGTGGAGAACCATCCTGGCATGAAAGAAAAACGAAAGTAGTCAAATCCCATCTTTCTCTCCAATCCCCACCTCCCATCCCCTCAAGTGAATGCAGCTTGAGATTCCTTGCTTTTTACTATCATCTTAGCTTTCATCTCCAACTGAAATCGTTGTTAAAATTAAACAGCTAACCCCGTTGCCATGGGAGAGAAAAACATCGTGAGGAAAAAGAATCACAACTTGGAAAAATAAGTAAAAAGGCATTTGCATTGACAGAGTGCCAAGGTGTTTTTTTTTTAACTTAAATAATATATCTAGAAAATACTGTGAAATATGTATCTCAAAATAGAATGAGGTCTAGTCAAAAGGCTCAGTAAAACAACTGCTTAAAATCAACAGACCAATAAAAAAAGGACAGGAGGATGTGTGTCCCGCCTCGACCCCGCCCCCAGACCCTGCCGGTCTGGATGTGCTAAAGCAGAAGAACCTAAAAGCCACGAGGAAGTGCTGGTAGTCGTTGTGATCTCTGCAAGCCATTTCCGTCTCAGTCCCTTCAGCTCTGTCCCGGATCAAGGCAGCTGACGGGCTTTGCGTGTATTCGGAGACACGGGTTCAAAGACCTCATCATCGTCTTCCACACCTTCTTCGATTGGCTTCATCTTGGCAGAGGCTCGCTGGTGTGGGGAGGACACATCTGTGAAAGACAGGGGAACGAGAACTGCTTAGTGCGCAACCTGCCCTGACACTGGTGTCATCTGGGAACCCCAACAGGGAAAGGAAAAACGCTACGGGCATCTACGGCTACGACCAAGAACGCCATTTCCTTCAACGCCGTCTTCTATACAGCATCTCAGGGAAACAACACTCAAGCCATAGGATGCATGAGCTTCCTAAACACTCACAGTTCTGAGCCACCCCAGAGTCTGTGTAGGTCTCAGGGTGCATATTATGAACAATTCCTACCCCATACAGTTATTATGAGGATTAAATGACTCAAAACTTGTAAAGTTCTTACATCAATGCCTGAGATATTATCACTTTGTAAATGCTTTTAAGACAATAGCATTAGTTAACATGGTCTTGGGAAGGCACTGGCTTAAATGATGAGAAAACTGATTAAAATTCATCATTGCCCATGGTAATGGCCAAGGAAAGGAATAGAGGCAGGTGTTTAGTGCAGTGGTTAAGCAATTGCTTGGGACACCCACAACCCATATCGGAATGCTAAAGGCTGAGACCTCATTTCACTCTCCATCCCAGCTTCCTGTTAACGTACACTCTGCAAGACAAGCAGTGAGGGTTCATGTATTGGGACCCTGCCACCCATGTGTGAAACCCACATTGAGTTCCTGGCTTTGACCTGGCCCAGTCCTGGCTGTTGCATGCATTTGAGAAGTGAACTAGAGGATGGAAGGGGTGTGTGTGTTTCTAATGAGTAAAAAGAAAGAAAATTTTAAATAGGACTTATGCTGAAACAAAGATTTGTGTTTCTCAATCTAAGCTGTTCTGAGTATAGCAAAATTGTCTTTTTAACAACAGCAATTGCAGTGGCTTCTATCATATTTTTAGTCTCGTTGTGACTGAATGTCATAAAATATTAAGTTAGGCTGAGTATCTGTGATCAGATAAAATCCTTCGAATAAACAAGAAGACAGCATGTCTGAAAGCATTAAGCCAAATCAATAATATATAGCATTCAGACATAAGTATATAATACACATAACAGAAACACACCCAGTCCATTCTGACCGAGGAGACAGGATTACTTGGTTTCCAGTTTTCGAGCCCATCTGTGAAACCAGGACTGCCGTTCCATGGTTTACTGATGCTGGTGCCCACAGAGGAGCCAAAATGCTACCCAACCCTCTCAACTGTCTCACCCCTCACTGCATTTTTTTTTTTTTCAGAAAGAAAAATGTAATTGCCAGTTAAAGGTTCCAATATCACTGGAGGCGGCTGAGTGATCACTTCCCAAGAACTTGGAGTCTTTTTGTGAAAGCCTTCATTCTGTTTCCAATGCATTTGCCTGGGCAAAAGAACAGTTGAAGTGTTTGCCACGTAACATTAAAAGGATAAATTCTAAGTAGCCACAGTCCTAGGATGGCACTCAGGAGTCCCCACGTGGGGTCTCGCCTACCTTCTAGTCTGTGTCTCAGGAACTCACCACCTCCAAATCCCACCCACCTTTTCCTTTTGCTTTCCTTTTCTTTTCTAAGATCTACTTATTTATTTGAAAGTCAGAGTTATAGAGAGAGAGAGGGAGGGAGAGATTTTCCATCTGCTGGTTCACTCCCCAAGTGATTGTGGTGGCCAGGGCTGAGCCAGGCTGAATCCAGGAACCAGGCACTTCATTTGGGTCTCCCACAGGGGTGCAGGGGCCCAAACACTTGGGCCTCTGCTGCTGTTCTTTCCAGGCCATTTTCAGGGAGTTGGATTGGAAGAGGAGCAGCCAGGACTTGAACCCGTGTCCATATGGGACGCTGGTGTCGCAGGTGGTGGCTTTACCCGCTATGCCACAATGCCAGTCCTGTCTTGCCCTTCTCTTCCCCTGGAGTGGTCTCTCCATTCCCATCCCTACCCATCATATTCCCACCTATTCCTCAGGGTGGGGCTCAAATCCTGAGCTCTTCCATGTGGAATCTTCCCCCGCGCCTCCTTTGGGAAGGTCTGCCCTCTTCTCGTCTCAGTAACCACAGGCTGTACATGCCAGGGTCAGAGCATCTTAGCGGAGGGCGAGCAGGTTGCAGGTGGGAGCTTTGGCCTCTTCTTTCCTACAGCCTTGCAGAAGTGCCTCACACAGCCGGGGCTGTCACAATCACTTACACACGTACACAGTGATGAAAAAGCCCTCCTCGGAAGCACACCTGGGGAGCTTCCAGGATGTCTGTTCTCTGACAGGCCAGGCCCTCACCCTTCCGAGGGGCACCACCCACCTTCCTCAAGGGCAGACAGGTCTCAGGCGATGGTGAAACCTCACTAGGGAAAGGGACCAAGAACACTCTATTCCATATTGTTACTTTTATGTAACTGATTTGACACTGCTCACAGCGTAAAGGGCAAGACTGTCCTCTCAAGCCAACGTCAGTAAGGCTTCATAGTAGCAGGTGTTTGGCACCAAGTGGGTTAAGACCCTGCTTGGGATGCCTGCATCCCATATCAAAGTGTCTGGGCTGGAGTCCTGCTTCAATTCCAGCTCCCTGCTGATGCGCACCCTGGGAGGCAGGAGGGGAGTGGCTCAAGGACTTGGGTCCTTGCCAAGGGAAACCCAAACTGAGTTCCCAGCTCCTGGCTGCAGCTTGGCCCAGCTGCAGTTGTTACAGGCATTTGGGGAACAAACCAGCAGAAGACCTCTTCTCTCCATTTCTGTCTCTCCCTTGTCCTCTCTACCTCCCCCCCACCACCTAATCTCTGCTTCTCAATTAAATACAAAATAAAAACTAAAATAAGGCCTAGTAGCAGTACTGTTAACCTGCTACATTTTCATGCAATCAGTAAAAAGATGCAGAAGGTAACTACAAGGTATCAGTTGCAATGTCAAATGTTGGGGAAATAAAAATCAATCACAAGTCTCCTACTCTCTGTTAATTAGATTTCTCAGAAACTCAAAGCACTTTTTAGAGCAATCCTTCCTCACTGTATCCATGCTATTATTTTTTCCTTTTCACTCAGAAGCTAAAGTAAAGGCAAACTGAACCTCCAGTGAAAGAAAACAGAGGGGTAATGGCTGGTGCCACACTGTAGCACCTACAACATCCGCATCCCATATGTGTGCTGGTTTGAGTCCTGGTTGCTGCACTTCCAATCTAGCTCCCTGCTAATGTGCTTGGGAAAGCAGAAGAAGATGGCCCAAGTCCCACCCAGGTGGTAGATCTGGAGGAAGCTCCTGGCTCCTTGCCCAGGCCATTGTGGCCATCTGGGGAGTAAACCAGCAGTTAGGAGATCTCTCTGTTACTCAGACTTTAAAATAAAATAAGTCTTAAGAAAAAGAGAACAGAGGGTGACTGTTGCTGCTACTGTCAAGTTCATTTCTCACCTACGAGTGAACTTCTGAGGCAGAAACATAACCTTGCAGCATAAACCTGGTGGCTCCAACGTTCTGTTCAGATTTACTTGTTTTGAAAAATGCTTTTTACTCCAAGGATACTCCAGCAATTCTACCTCATTGCTCCTTTTCCTCAGGGCAGATGAGAGGACCACGGCCTGCCGCACACCCTGCCAGGAGCTACAGTGCCAGCTACTTGTCTCCTCCCTAGGAATTGGTCCTCAAGGTGCCTACTTTGTACCTGCCTCAGTTAGCCAGAGCCTCCTGTAGCTCTGAGGGCCAGGGGCGATGCTCACAGCCAGGGAAACGAAAGGGTCACCTGGCCTGACCTAGCATTACAGGGCCAGGAGAAGGGGTGGTTTTGGGAGAGAGGTGCCCAGAGTGCTGTCCAACCTCGCCAGGAGACCTCCTGCGGCCCCGGAACCACCCTGGGCCTTCGCTGCACAGCTGGAAATGACTGTCCCCTAATAAATCCAAACCTTATTTGGAGTATAAACAAAAGATGAGGAAATAGCAGACTTCAGGGGAGCTGTCCTGCACTTTACAAGTTGAACATTAATACATTCTTTCTGCGAGTTTCCCTGGGTTTTCATTAGTTTTACGCACTGAAGCATTATCAGAAATCTGCCCTGAGGCTCAACCCAGCATTCTTAGATTCGAGAGCAGGAGAGGATAGTGGGAGGAATGGAGCTGATCTTTAGTCAAGTGCCTTTCAAGCTACTTCTGCCCTTCAAGGATGAGCCCTCTTTACGACCTGGGTCATGTTTGGCTTTTCATTTATCTTGGGCTCTAGAGGGGCAAATCAACCCATCCCCGTCCACTTCTCAGAAAAACTGGATTCCATTCTTCTATTAAACCATTTTTTATAGTTGGGAGACAGAGTGGTTAACTAAATCCCATGGTATTTATTACAACCAAGAAGACATAATTATAAACACTTTTTTGCCACTTGCTATAATAACCTTCTAATTTTCTGGGCTCTCTGGCTACCAATTAACACAGCTTATTACAAAGGTATATTAAGCAAATTATCTCATATTGAACTGCAATGCAGACCTAACAGGTGTGAAATTGTCAAACAGGTATGTCAAGAGTTACTGTTGCTTGGGGTGGTGTGTTTACTGTTATACCACGTGGCAAAAAAAAAAAAAAAAAAAAAAACCTCTGCCTAAAGGCGTCCACATCCTTTTCCATGGATGCCAAATGCACCAAGGAGGTGCAGCCAGAGGGCAGAAGTTGGCCCTGAGCTGTAGCCACATTCATGGCACACCCAAGCGAGAAACAGAACTGCAGCACCAGGCAGCGATCCTGAAGCTAACAGAAAAACTCGTTACTACAAAACCTGGGACTCTGAGCAAATGCAGAAGACGGACACCTAGCAGTAAGAGTCCTGACCTGCACAGTGTCCAGCTGGCAGGGAGTGAGGACAGCGTGAATATCCCCAAGGGGACCTGGATGTGGCCAGCGAAGCGTCTCCTAAGCAGATCTGTTCAGACAGTGGCTCACGCAGGACCCTAGCTGAGGAGGACAGGAGATTTCCGGGAAGAACAACCGGGGCCCTGGACTGCACGTCTAAAGCAGACCCCGGCCTCCACGGAGGACAGGCTCAGGCACCTCACAGACCCTCTTCTGTCTTCCTCAAGTCTTGAGTT